AATTGAGTGAACCCCTTCTTCTCAAGAAACTGAGCTGCACCCCTTCATGCATCTGAAACATGAAGTGTCTTCTGGACTAGAATGAAAATAATAATGTTTTTGTTGGATTTAAAGGGATATGAGCTGTTGAAAAATATAAGATTTCTATTTGATAAATCTATGATTTCTACCAACTATTGATATGCTGCTTTGGTTTTTGTTGCAGGTAACTTTTCTCTTCCACTTGCTTCGCTGCTCTTCAAACCCTCGTGCGTCTTTGAGGTATGATTTCATTCTTAAATTTGAGTGTGCCTTTACTATATCACTGTTTAATAGTGTTAGACTAAAGAATTTTATCTTATAAGAATTTTATCTTAAATTTGAGTGTGCCTTTACAAATACATTATTCTTATAAGCAATTGTAATAACCAAAATTGCAATGTTTGCAATCGCATTCATACGAGACCGCAAAATCACTTTAAAATCCTAGTACAAAGCAATATTAAGGTCGCACTCGCACACTGACACAACATAAGTAAATATTCTTGAAGTACCTAGCTAAATGTAGTAAACATATTGATATGAAGTATTTATCCATATATGTCTGTTACATGAAACTGTATTATACTAATTGATATCACAAGGCTTCACCTATAAACTTGTTATGTAGTGTGTAAAAACAAATTAAACAACCAATAATAAAACTCATCTCTTTTATTTTTCTATTGTTTATATTCAAAATAACATGTTCTCGTAAGTACTAGAATTCTGAAAATATAATTTTTTTTTTGAAGAAATGGATAAGTCATGGATTATTAAGCCACAATCATCGATTGCGTATCAAAAAGGGATACAAGAATTTATTGATTTTGCATTTAAAGGTGCAAAAGAAAACGACGTAGTAATATGTCCTTGCAAACGTTGCGGTTTCAGAAAATTAAAGAGTAGGAGTGACATGTTCGACCACTTAAGTTGGTCACCATTTCCGCAGGGATACACCATGTGGATCCATCACGGAGAGTCTTTTGTACGATCTAGTACTATCTCCCCTAGTACTACTCCAAGTATGGTAGAAGATACTAACATTGTCGAAGAACCTATTCAGAACATGATCAACGATGCATTTGGAGTTTATGGGAATCATGCAAATGAAATACCATCTGCGTCAAATTTGGAGATTGAACAAGAAGATTATGTGATGCCAAGCTCAACTCAGGAAAGAAACGAAGCCAAGGAGTATTATGAGTTGGCTAGAGAAGGAGAACAACCTTTATATGAAGGGTGTATACGATATTCAAGACTATCTTTTTTGGTTAAGTTGTACCATATAAAGTGTTTATGTGGATTGAGTGAGAAGGCAATGACAATGATTTTAGAGTTAATAAAAGATGCATTTGAATATGCAAACATTCCAAGTTCATTCTATGAAGCCAAGAAATCAATCACAAAACTTGGTTTGAATTATGTAAACATACCCGCATGTCCAAACGGTTGTATGCTTTATTGGGGAGAAGACGAGGAGAGGGAGACTTGCAAAAATTGCAACACTTCAAAATGGAAAACAAATGAGGATGTCTCTGTTAACAAGAAAAAAAAGAAAATTCCTGCCAAGGTTCTTCGTTATTTTCCATTAAAACCTCGATTACAGAGATTATTTTTGTCATCAAAAACGGCAGAGGATATGAGATGGCATGCAACAGATACTAACAATGATGGAATGTTGAGGCATCCTAGAGATTTAGAAGCTTGGAAGAAATTTGACTTGACACATACTTGGTTTTCATAAGATCCACGGAATGTGCTTCTTGCATTGGCTAGTGATGGTTTTAATCCTTTTGGTGTGATGAGTACAAACAATAGTATTTGGCCAGTTGTTCTCATACCATATAACACTCCTCCATGGGTTTGCATGAAGCAGACATCATTTATAATGTCAATGATAATTCCCGGTAAAGAGGCACCAGGAAATAATATTGATGTCTACTTACAACCATTAATCAAAGACCTGAAGGAGTTATGGACAAGTGGTGTGGATACATACGATTCTTTCAAGAAAGAGATGTTCAAGTTGCATGCAAATTTGATGTGGACTATTAGTGACTTTCCAGGGTAGGGTTCACTTTCTGGGTGGAACACATACACAGGACTTGCTTGCCCATCGTGTAACTTTCAAACTACACCTCTCCGTCTTAAAGCTAGTTGTAAATGGTGTTTTATGGGTCATCATCGTTTCCTTGATCGGAGACACAGGTTTAGATTGAACAAGATCCGCTTTAATGGTGAACAAGAAATGCGGAGTCCACCGAGAACATTATCTGGACATGAAGTTTTTGAAAAGGTTAAAGATGTTGAAGTCATCTTTGGTAAAAAGGCAGTGAAAGAAAAATCAGTAAAAAGAACACGTGAGGAACAACCTATAGAAGGTGATAGTACACAATGTGATCCTACAAAAGGTCATCCTCAACAATGGAAAAAGAAAAGCATATTTTTTGAACTTCCGTATTGGAAAGATAATCTTCTACGCCATAATCTTGATCCGATGCATATTGAGAAAAATGTGTGCGATAATGTCCTATTTACTCTACTAAATGATAGGCAAAAGAGTAAAGACCATTATAAAGCTCGAGAAGACCTTCAAAATATGGGCATAAGACCTGATCTTTGGCCTGATGAAAATGGTAAAATTTCTCCGGCTGCCTTTAGTTTAACAGGTAAAAATAAAAGGAATTTTTTAATGACTTTAAAGAATATTAGGGTGCCTGATGGTTATTCAAGCAACATTTCTAGATGCATTGACTTAGTAAATCTCAAGGTGAATGGAATGATGAAGAGTCATGATTGTCATATATTAATGGAACAACTTTTACCATTAGCCATTCACACAACATTACCTCATGAGGTTTCAGCAGTATTGATTGAGTTGTGCTCATTCTTTAGACAATTATGTGCCAAGGTATTGAAAATTGAAGACATGGAAAAATTGCAAAACCAAATTGTCCTCACTTTATGCCATATGGAAATATTATTTCCTCCCTCGTTCTTCACGGTTATGGTCCACTTGGTTGTTCACCTTGTTGAAGAAGTTAAACTTGGAGGTCCTGTTCATTATCGATGGATGTATCCTGTTGAAAGGTAAACTATGTGATTTTGTTCTAATGTTACTAACTTAATTAGAAAGTAGAAAGTTTTTTTAACTAGTGTTATTGTGGTTCAATGATAGGTACTTGGGAAAACTTAAATCGTATGTACGTAATAAGGCAAAACCAGAAGGGTCTATTGCAGAAGGATACCGTTTTGAAGAGATTCTTACATTTTGTTCAAGATATCTAGAAAATATTGAGACAAGATGGAATCAACCTGGACGTGTAGATGACGACCCTATTGATGATATCCAAACTGCTTCACGTGTAGCTGAATTATTTCCTAGAGTTGAAAAACCTGTGGGTGGATCTTCTTATTACACCCTAACACCAACTGAAAGATTGCAGGCTCATAGACACGTTTTAACAAACTGTCCAATAGTTGACGACTATCTAAAGTATGTAGTTTTATTACATTTAAGTAGTTTCATCTATACTATTAATATTTTTTTACATCTAATATCGAATAATCAAATAGGCAGTTCTGAAGTTTTACTCAAAACCAAATGAGGCGCAATCAAAGAAGTGCTACTGAGATAGACAAGAAGGTTCATAAGGAGTTTGCGCATTGGTTCAGCAATCGTGTGAGTTTTCATACAAAAATAGATGTTTTATTGAATTGGTTTTTAATAATAACAAGACTAATTGAATGTTGTATCATGTATAGATTCGCAACAATCTTGACAACATTCATGGGCCAGATAAAGATGTTCTCATTAGTCTTGCTCATGGACCTTTTGATAAAGTTAAAAGATTTACCGCGTTCAATGTCAATGGATTCAAGTTTCGAACGTTGGAACGAGACAATCTTTTAAAAACTCAAAATAGTGGAGTTTTTGGCATGTTTGGGACACGAAGTTATTCAAGCAATAGTGATACCCAAATGAGATTTGGAGGGGTCCCTTACTATGGAAGATTAATAGATATTATTGTGCTTTCCTATGATGGCTTCACAGTGCCCATGTTTAAATGTGAATGGGCTAATACCATAAACCCAAGAGGAATTAAGATAGATAAGTTGGGTTTTACCTCTATAAACTTTGCAAGACTACTACATACTAGTGAACATGAAGATAATGAGCCATATATTCAAGCATCTGAAGCTCATATGGTTTTTTATGTAGATGATGAGAGTGAACAAGGATGGAGCATACCTGTTCATTTGAAGCCAAGAGACTTGTATGACATGGGTGGAAATGATGAAATTATGACACCCATTGAGCCATATCCATCACAAAATTTGGAACAAATCTTTTCAAATGATGATCTTGGAACTTCAGCGACAAATGATGACAATAGTTAACATATAGTTTTTTATTGATAAGAATCTAGTTTGTTTGTAACTTGTGTGAGACTTAATGTATGATATTCCATTGTTACTCTATGTTCTTTGTTGCTTATCCCTAATTAATATGTTAGATGACATTGTTACTCTATGTTTTTAATTTATTGTGTTTATGTTATGTTTATTAAATTTGTATTCACTAATATATAATTTTGATGTTTACTACTTTTAGTGTACTTAATACCTATACTTGCAGTTGAAGCCTTTTGTGAGACAATGACTACACCATATGAGAATAGTCGCCTCAAAAGAATTGCAGAGAATAAGAAAAAGTTAGCGGCTCTCAATCTTCCTACACTCTCTCAATCCCTTCACAAATCATCAGAGTCTTCTTCCAAACCATCACTGATCAGTCATAAATTCTCTATACTACTACATACAAATTAATTGTACTTATTATTTACTAATATTCACTAATGTATTTTATTTAGTCTGTGAAGGGCCGTTCAAGGTTTGTACAACCTGGAGAGCTTGAAGTAAATAAGAAGCGCCTACGTTCAATTACAACTCGCAAATCATCAATAACCCCTCCACCAATGGAAACTACAATAACCCCTCTACCAATGGAAACTACAATAACCCCTCCGTCAATCCAAATTGCAAAAGATGTTGTGGTAGAAGATGAGGATGAAGATGACATGGTAGGAGATGAGGCTGATGATGTTGTGGTAGGAGATGGGACTGGAGATGTTGTATTAGGAGATGAGGCTGAAGATGTTGTGGTAGGAGATGAGGCTGAAGATGTTGTGGTAGGAGATGGGACTGGAGATGTTGTGGTAGGAGATGAGGCTGAAGATGTTGTGGTAGGAGATGGGACTGGAGATGTTGTTAAAGTGGCTAAATCTGAGTATTGGGATGTAAATGTCATTAGTAAGTAATTTAAGGTTAAAGTATCTATAAATAATTTAAATTTTTTACATAGTTGAGTTATGAAATTAATTTGTTTACTTTTTTAATGTGATAGACGAGGAAGGTTATGTTTCAAACACACGTTTATGTGTGAAAGACTTGGTTGCGAAATCAGAGCCTGATGGAACATGGATAATACTTGAATTCAATAAGAATAATTGTGCAGTAGGACCGGCTTCTGGTTTGCTAGCAGGATATTTGGGTATAATTATTAGAATGTTTAGAGATATTCCCATAATGTTTGAGAGTTGGAAGAATGTTCCAGCAGATACAAAAACAAAGTTTTATGAATCAAAGATAAAGGTATTATTAATAAACAATTACATATTTTTTAAATTAACTTCATGGTGATTATTATTTCCTTTGTCAACTAATATATTTTTATGTTTAGCGCCATTTTCTTGTGGATGATGGGCGTGACAAAGATTTTGTACTTGCTTCTGCTGCAAGGAAATGGAAGGATGCTCGACATACATTGTTTCACGAATTTTATAGATGGGATCTCCCTTTGGAGGAAAATCTTCAAAATTATCCAAAATGCAGAGGCATTCCTGAAAATGACTGGGCTGTTTATGTTCAATATAGGCGGAAAGAAAAAACACAGGTAACATTAGTGTTTTTATTCGTTAGATTTCTCTGGTTTGTATGTTATCCCTATCTATAATGCATGTTTTTATTTGTTACAAATGTAGAAAATATCCCAAAAAAATTCCCAAAATAGAGAAAAATTGAAGGCTCCGCATACACTCGGATCTAAGTCGCTTGCAAGGAAGAAACATGAGTTGGTATGTCTAAATATATATGTTGTTGATCGTTTGCTTGATAGTACAAACAATTTATATTAGTTTTTATTTGCAGGAAATGAGAGATGACGGACATACAGCAGAGGAGAAATGTATGCAGTTTCTCATAAAAAAGCCTAACGGGTCATTTATCAATGAAGATGCATACAACAATAATGTAAGTACAAGTTAATTCTTTTGAAATACTGGAAAAAAACGGTAATAGTAATAGAACCATCCCAAATAAAACTCACCACTGGAATTTATATATATAATATGGAGAAAGAGCCCAATATATGCTTGGATTCCACTTGATGACATTGTAAATGCCAATCGTGAAAATAGATAGTAACCATAGGATGATTATGGGAGGAAACATGAAAGCAATCGCGTGGGAGCCACGGTGTTGCAAAATAAAGAGACCAACCAGTAGAACACAGGAAATAAGAGGCATCATACCTGCATAGATTAGAAGCGTAAGTTGTAATGGAAAAATCACCTATGCTGCATTTGACATATATTTGAAACATTGAAAACTGTGGGGTAACTTTAGTGGGAAATTTCAGAATAAATATCCTAGAGTGATTTTGTTTATACTGAAGAATGGTGGATAGCAAGCTTTACTGAACTTCTTGTAAACAATTCTCCATGTCACATTTGCAATAGTTTGTGCCACCTCCTAGTTTGTGCCAACTTCTTTTTACGTATATATGGAAGTCCATGATTTGATCAAGAGGTTCTCCCCCAATATATTATTCTTGTTATATAAACAATAGCTCAATTTTTTCTTTTTCATGTGCAGAAAAAATTACAAGCTGCAATTAAGGATTCTGTGTCTGAAAATGAGGCATTTCAGAAAGTATTTGGAAAAGAAAAGCATGGATATGTTCGTAGTATGGGACTTGGAGTTACACCATCTCAAATTAATAGATCTACGAGATCGACATCTTCTTCTGCAGAAAGTGAACAAATAAAGGAAATGCAAGAAGAAATTAATGCACTTAAAGAAAAGAATTCAAAAATTGATGAATTAACACAGGCAATCATATTCTTAACGCAAAGGGACAAGGCGAGGACAAAGGAAATTGAACTCTTAATGCAAACGCAGAATTTTAGTGGAAGACAGGTATATTATTTTGACGCATTTAAAGTTAAATTTTATGAGTATTATTTTAAAGATTATTATTTTAATACCTTTTTTTAGGGATTGGAATCACCCGCTGATGGTAGACGTTCATCTGAGTCTAGCTACCGTATTGGAGATAATGGAACTTCAGGGGGGACAAATTAGACTTTGCTATGATCGAGATAATTAGATTGTGAACTTTCTCATGTATTTTTGGCATAATGATACTTATTATTATAAGATTAGGAATTGATATATTTTGGGTTTTTTGTACTACTTGACATGATTATGGAACTCGCATTTTACATGATTATGGAACACACATTTTTTTGGATATTATAATGCTTATTTGATGTTAAATATTTTTTATTGAAATTATTTTTACTATATTACAAAGTGATAGAAAATAAAACAAAAAATAATACTATAAATAAATATATTAAAGAAGAAATAATTTAAAGAAAAAAATAACACAAAAAAAAACTATATTTAAATTTTTTTTACATAGATAATAATTTAAATAAAAAATATATATAATAGAAAAAAAAAATCAAGACATAAACAAAAGTCATGGCGACAGTACCGAACCGTCGTAATCAACAATTAAAAATAATCAACAAAAGTCATGACGGTATCGAACCGTCGCCATAAACAATTTAATCAATTTCAAAAGATATTCACGACAGTATCGAACCGTCGCCATCAATAATTAAAAGAAACTCAAAAGATAGTCACGACGGTATCAACCCGTTGTAAACTTGAACGACAGTTTTTGTAACCGTCGCGAAATAGGTTGGGGACACACACTTCTGCGACGGTAAAGCAACCGTCGTGGAAAGCAAATTGCGACGGTTTTAACCGTCGTAATCTACAAAAATACCTGTCGCAATCTGCCAATTTTCTTGTAGTGTATGAAGAGAGTTTGGCAGAGCTTTTTTGGCTATCCAAGCTTGAGGAAAAGAGTGAGGAATGATCCTCTATTTATAGGGAAATGAATGGTGAAAAGAATTGGAAGAAATAGTGAGGTTTGGAGGGAAATTGAGTGAAGCCCGAAAATGAGAAAAGTGTGACTTGAACTTCCTCAAAAATCAGCTAATTCTTGCGTTTCAATGCTCTAATTATGTTTTGCAACTTAGTTAAACATGTTTAAGTTAGAAACGCGCAACAATTTGATCATTAGAAGCCACATTATGAAAATCAAATTCTTACTTCAAACAGAAACTCTGTTTCATGGAAGCAACTTCAAGAGCATGGAGCACACAATGTAGGAGGCTTTATGATCTCATTCTTTTTGCAATGGAAGGATCTCACAACAAACTTCACAATATGCAAAGAAAGATAGTTTTTGGATATTTGAGCAAAAAGTTATTCAAGTTTTAAATCAAGAAAAACACACGGGTATTTGACACTTAGAAAAATTCTAAGTATGAAACCTCAAAATGACCTATAATGTTCTTCAAAGTTACATGCCCTTCCTCTCAAAATTTGATCTTGACCCATGAAGATAAAATTAAGTAGACCCTTTAAATTGAGTTGTGGAATTGAGATCACTCAAAAGTGATAAAAGATTAAAGAGTTATAGTCTTTGGAAGATGATGAACAAATTTGGGGAAATTCAAAAAAGACCTATAATATTTTCAATTCTTTAACAACTTCCCAAGCATTTTAAAGTCTATCACCTTGAAACAAAGTTGTAGTAGACATCCCAAAGATTATTGTAGAAAATTACTGAGATCAAGGAGGTTAAAAATGACAAAGTTATGATCCTTTGAAGTCACACAAGAGAATTTGATAGCCTTTTCACATGACTTGTAATCTTCTTCAATCATTATTGATCCATTAAAAATTAGCCATAAACCCTTGAAGATGACTTTTTGAAGATCCTTTAAAGAGAATATTGGTTTTGGAATCAATCAAACATATCCACAAATAAGAAAGATTTTGTCCTTGGAAGTCAACAATCCCTAGCTCAGAGAGTGTTAAAATGACTTGGAACCCCTTTCAACTTTTGATGATTTTTCTTGCACAATTGGATCTTGTCACGTGAAGATAAATTGTTGTATATGATGTTAAGAACCCATAGAAAAAAGAACCAACTCAAAATATTGAAAATTGAGAGAGTTATGCAATTGTTATCACTGAATCAAGCACTTCCCCAATTAGGTCAAAGTTGTTGAACCAACCTTGAATTTTTTGAACTTTCTATGCAAAATAGAGCATGATGAGTAACATTAGACCTTTAAATGATGTTGTCATAAAACAAACTCAATGGTGGAGTTTAATTTTAAATGAACCTTATTGAAGAAGGCATGGAAATAAACACATGAACCTATGAATCTTCTCAATGAATACCACTACCAACCTTGAGGAAAACTTGACCTAGATAAGGTGAGAGAGCTCTTTGAACCAAAAAAATTTGATATCATAGACATAGTCTTGAAGCTTAATTATTGTAATCAATTAAAAAACCATTTGACTGAGGACCATCCCTCAAAATCTTAGGTTAGATGATGAGATGGATGCAGTTGCGTCATCACCTATAATATAAACATTCAAAGAAACATGTATACATATTTTGATGTTAGTTAAAAGTTAATCCAACTAAAAACATACATATGTAAGATACACAATTGAAGGTGCTTGATGATCCCTCAATACCTAACTTAAATATAGGATGAAGTAGAAGGGAGAACCAACCCTAATGTGTGATCATGATTTATTGATAATATGAGATAATAAGAGATCTTAGGGGCAAAAATTGGGGTACAACAAATGACCTTATTTAAGTGTCTTCTATTCGGAGATATGAAGATTAAAATCTTTGTCTTGACGTGATTGAAGATACTTAAATATAAAAAAAAACCTATTTTTTCCCTAAGATGTCAAGTAAAGCTTATGATTATGAATGCAAATGATCAACTCTGAAGGTTACATAGAACACCACTGGGGAAGCAAAAATAGAATCAACGGACCAAAAAGAGAGTTCGACCAGGAAAATAAATAGATAGGTAACAACACGACTATGGGGATGACTATAAATAGGCAAAAACAAAAACACGGC